TGGCAGCTTTCTTCTCTGCCTCCTTCTGCTTGCTGACCTTTTCCAGGGCCTTGCGCTGCAAAACCGGGCAGGCCTTCACTCCATGCCCCACCACCTTGCAATACTCGCAAGTTTTGTAGAACCTGGGTGGCCGAGGCACGCGACGTGCACCACACAACACTCCAAACTGTGGAAAATCAACGCGCTTTGAGCACTAACAAACCAAACCATCAATATCGAGTAGAAGAATGGCCTCACTAAACCCTCCAACAGCCTGATCCTGTACCGAAGTCTACACCCCTACTTTCTCAACACTAAGCCCAAAAAAAACCAACATAAGAACACATGTTCAACCTGCCTGCGTTGTCTTATTCTGTATTTCCCTGCACCCCTAGACCCTAAATCCACCATAGCAACCCTTAATATTAGTGAGTCCTTATTGCTGCAAGGGGAGCCCTGTTATAAAACCCTAAAGTGGTTCTTAAGAGCCACCCAAGCTGCGGCATCTTCGGGCACTCAGCGGCCCTGTGGCCGGTGCTGTTGCACCGGGAGCCTAGGTTCTGAAGGGCATCCCTATTCGGGGATATTTTCGACGGGGATTCTACGGCTTTAAAGGCTTTTCATAGAAATTATATAAGGCCTTCTGGCAGTTGCTTGTTGGGTTCCATCGGGTTTCTTGTCACGGCTGGCTGGCTTTGATAACCCAGCATCCCCGCTCAAAAGGGTAACTGTAGGGTTTAGATCTTGGGGTTTACGTTTTAGGGTTTAGGGGAACGCTCCGATCGTTAAGCCTTTACCAAAAAGGGAGACCACAAAATAAACGGGCCGAAAGTGTAGGAAGGAGCAGATCTGGCTGTCGACGGCAGACATTGGCGTTGCAGGGCGCGAGGCGACGGGGGACGAGTTAGTTTTGAAGAGGCATGCTGCGGCAGAACAGAAGCCTCTCAGAAAAAAAGGGACCTCGGGCTTTTTCATCCAATCCCGGGGTCACAATATGTCAAGTTCCTGTAAGCAGTTTCTCCGGCAGCCATTGAATTTAAGAAGCCCTACAGTAGCCGAACAGCATCAAGCGAAGCCCAATATCTACAACATTGCTTCTCTGCGTCACGCAGTGGAAAGCATAGCGTCAGATGGTCGGATATGATTTTGCCGCCGCCAGCACGCAGAGTTACGCACAAGGCAACTCTCCCGACTATCGTAGGCAGCACTGTACTGCAACTAATGATATGACGACGCATTCCGCAAAACTGTGGTGGTAAGCTGTACACTGTACATTGCCCTCCGATGCGCCCACCAAAGTGCGCAAGGGAGCTACTAGGAAGCAGCCGGCAGAGCGATCCGCTGGTAACCAAGGCGCACTTTGCGCAGCACCTCATGAGACTCGATCTCACTCCTCCGATCCACCTGACGATCATCGATGTGGACTCACAGAGTCGCGATTTGCAGGCAAAGGCATTAGGCATCTTGTATATGTTGCTCAACACTGGAGTCTTTAAACATCTTTAAACAACCCTTACAGAGACGTTCAACAACAAAAACTTGCAAACCTCTTATTCGAAGGATTCTCTGTTTGGAACCCCAACTACCCTCCACTCAACCTGCGTTCCTGCTAAGATCCCCACCTCGGAGCCAAGTGGACTAAGCAAGTTTTATGTTTCACTAACAAGCTACTTACCAAGCCCTGTGATCCTGAACTCAAACATCAAATTCCCTCAACCCTAAACCCTGAATCCAAAACTTCACACCCTTCAACCCTTTCAGCAGCGCACCTTTTGCAGCTGAAGTGAATCCAGGTGCTTCCCTTGCTCTACCAGCTGTTCCTGGGCTCTTCATGAGGGCCTTGTAAAGGGTTAGTATCAGGATCCCAGTAAAGCTCCCTTTTCGGGTTCCTGTAAGAACTTGAAGGGCTCCGTTACGAGTGCTTAAAGGGTTTAGGGCGCAGGGTCAAGCTATATGATTTGGTTGTTTTCGAGAAAATACCTCCGCTCCCCTACGAAGGTAGGCATTTAAAGTACGTGTTGCAGATGCTTATGTAAGGACAGCCCGACAAGCACAACTACCTCAAAAGCAACCAAGAGCCGTGTAGATACTGACCCTAAAGCCCTTAACTTAACCCCTAAACTAAACGCCTAAGCCCCTAAACCCTAAACCCTGGAAGTATACTGAACCTTCTAAAGCAACTTCAACATCGGCTGAGGCTCGAGGGCAGCGATCTCGCGAAGCTTCTTCTCCAGCTTGCGAGCCTGCGTTTCCGGGCTCAAGGTCTAAAGTCTAAAGGGTTTGGACTCTCAACTGGGTTGAAGCTTAGAGTTTAAGGGGGTTTGGGATTTACGGTCATGCCGAGCACAGACCTGAAGCTCTTAGCCGTCGCTACCATTGGAGTGTAGACTGTGCGTAATGCGAACAATGTCACAAACACCGTGGTCGTCGAGGTCGTCCTCCTTCAATCACATTCTCATCGTCGTCGCAATCATTGAAACCATCGTATCCGTCACCATCATCACATATGATCCCCATCTTCATTGCCAAGCAAACTCTAGACTGCGGCAGGCCTCCCGCTCATCATCTTCACTCAGCACCCAATGCTCCGGATGCCACTCTGACCATGCTGTCCTCGACTTGCCCTTCTTTGCCCCTCGCTGCCACCACGCTCTCTCGGACGAGGCCGTGGTACTTGTTCCAGACTCGCTGCAAGCATCGTTGGCAGCTTTCTTCTCTGCCTCCTTCTGCTTGCTGACCTTTTCCAGGGCCTTGCGCTGCAAAACCGGGCAGGCCTTCACTCCATGCCCGACCACCTTGCAATACTCGCAAGTTTTGTAGAACCTGGGTGGCCGAGGCACGCGATGCGCACCACACAACACTCCAAACTGCGCACATCAACGAGCTTTCAGCACTAACAAACCAAACCATAAATATCGTGTAGAAGAATGGCCTCACTAAACCCTCCAACAGCCTGATCCTGTATCGAAGTCTACACCTCTAATTTCTCAACCCTAAGCCCCAAAAAAACCAACAAAAGAACACATGTTCAACATGCCTGCGTGGTCTTGTTCGGTATTTCCCTGCACCCCTCTACCCTAAACCCACTATAGCAACCCTTAGTATTAGTGAGTCAGTCCTTATTGCTCCGAAGGAGCCCGTTTTTAGATTCCTAAAGTGGTTCTTAAGAGCCACCCAAGCTACGACATCTTCGGGCACTGAGCGGCCCTGTGGCCGGTGCTGTTGCACCGGGAGCCTAGGTTCTGAAGGGCATCTCAATTCAGGGATATTTTCGACGGGGATTCTACGGCTTTAAAGGCTTTTCTCATAGAAATTACGTAAGGCCTTCTGGCGGTTGCTTTTGGGTTCCACCGGGTTTCTTATCACGACTGATTGGCTTTGATAGCCCAGCATCCCCGCTAAGAAGGGTAACCGTAGGGTTTAGATTCGTTTAGATCTTGGGGTTTACGTTTTAGGGTTTAGGGGAATGTTCCGATTATTAAGCTTCTACCAAAAAAAAGGAGACCCCAAAATAAACAGGCCGAAAGGGTAGGAGCAGATCTGGCTGTCGACGGCCGACATTGTCGTTGCAGGGCACGAGGCGACGGGGGACGAGTTAGTTTTGATGAGGCATGCTGCGGCAGAACAGAAGCCTCTCAGAAAAAAAGGGACCTCGGGCTTTTTCATCCAATCCCGGGGTCACAATATGTCAAGTTCAGTAGCCGAAGAGCCCCAAACAAAGCCCCATGATATGGAACATTGCTCTGTGTCACGAAATAGTGTCAGATGGTAGGATGTGATTTTGCTGCCGCCAGCACACAGAGTTACGCACAAGGCAACTCTCCAGACTATCGTAGGCAGCACTGTACTCTAACTGTGTAACTAATGATATGATGACGCATTCCGCAAAACTGTGGTGGTAAGCTGTACACTGTACATTGCCCTCCGATGCGCCCACCAAAGTGCGCAAGGGAGCTACTAGGAAGCGGCCGACAGAGCGATCCGCTGGTATCCAAGGCGCACTTTGCGCAGCACCTCATGAGATTCGATCTCTCTCCTCCGATCCACCTGGCGATCATCGATGTGGACTCACAGAGTCGCGATTTGCAGGCATAGGCATCAGGCATCTTGTATAAGTTGCTCAACACTGGACTCTTTAAACATCTTTAAACAACCCTTACAGAAACTTTCAACAAAAATAGGTAATCCGCTTAGGGGAAGGATTCTCTGCGGGGAACCCCAACTACCCTCCACTCAACCTGCGTTCCTGGTAAGATCCCCACTTCGGAGCCCAGTGGACTAAGTAGGTTTTATGTTTCACTAAAAACCTATTACTAAGCCCTGCGATCCTGAACCCAAATATCAAATTCCTTCAACCCTAAACCCTGAATCCAAAACTTCACACCCTTCAACCCTTTCAGCAGCGCACCTTTTGCAGCTGAAGTGAATCCAGGTGCTTCCCTTGCTCTACCAGCTGTTCCTGGGCTCTTCATACGGGCCTCGTAAAGGTTTAGTATCAGGATCCCAGTAAAGCTCCCTTTTCGGGTTCCTTTAGAAACGTTAAGGGCTCCCTCCGCTAAGAGTGCTTAAAGGGTTTAGGGCGCACGGTCAAGCTACAGGTTTTGGTTGCTTTCGAGAAAATACCTCCGCTCCCCTACGAAGGTGGGCATTAAAAGTACGTGCTGCAGATGCCTATTGAAGGACAGTTCGACAAGCAAGAACTACTTCCAAAGCAGCCAAGCGCCGTGTAGATACTAACCCAAAGCCCTTAACTTAACCCCTAAACTAAACTCCTAAGCCCCTAAACCCTAAACCCTGGAAGTATACTTAACCTTCTAAACCAACTTCAACATCGGCTGAGGCTCGAGGGCAGCGATCTCGCGAAGCTTCTTCTCCAGCTTGCGAGCCTTTCCAGGGCTTCCACGGGGTTCAAGGTCTACGGTTAAGGTTTAAGGGGCTTGGATCTTGGACTCAATGGGGTTCAGGGTGTGAGGGGGTTCAGGGTGTCAGGGCGTTTAGGGTTAAGGGGGTTGGCAACTTGTTTTAGGGTCATGCGGGACATCGATTCTGAGGGAGTGTAGACTTTTGTAAAGCTTCTTCCTTCTTCATCTTAGTTGCAATCACTACCACAATAAACTGCAT